CATCACATGGCGCACGAAAGGTCAGCACAGATTCCTCGGGGTTGCAGGGCGGTGCGCCGAGGAGCTATTCACACAAATCTACAATCACACCTTCGAGTGGAGCCAATTTACCAATGCCTTCCACTCGCCTCTTTAAACGAACTAAAGGATGTTCCAGCATTTATTCACATTGTTGAAGCCCGGTGGTAAGGCTGACGCTGTTCAGTGAATATGCAGACCATGCTGCAGACCAAGGGTTTTAGAATGCACCCAGACTTTGGGGCGAAGGAGAAAAAAATCAAGACAGCTATGGAGTACGTTGCGCTTTAATTAACTCATGAAGGTTACATACACAGCACACGCGCGACTAGACATTTGAAAAAGCTTCACCATAACAGCATAAGAGTAAAGTTTATTTATCTACCGAAATATCAGTTATCGCATCCACATCCTCTTTAAGCATTAACTTCACTCAATTGCAAGCATGATATAACCAATCCAATCACTTGATGCCTAATTAAAATCACGAATTTAGGCCAAAGACGTGAGTAGGATTGCAGCTGCTCACATATCTCAGTTTAGACGAGGAAAAGTTGGGTCTTGAGGAATCTCTTGTTTCATAATTGTTGAACTTACTTCCATTTCGAAGAAAAGTGTTTGATGAAGAGATTCGAGGGTCGATTCCACCAGAAGACAAAAGGCATCATCAGAGCAGGGAGGGTATCATTCTTACAATCAAATTAAAGCTAACGAGTCAAAAAAGCTAACCGGCTCATCCAGTAAAGTGAAGTTCTTTGATGATGTGTAAAGTGATTTGGTTAATTCAAGTCATATGTTAACCTCGAAGCATGCAAGTGTGTGTATGTGGCTTCATGCATTCGCATATATACGGGGCCAGCAGTGGTGACTTAAAGTAATATGAGATGTATTCACCCTACTTCGTTTAAGGTGATGATACTGGTAGTAGAATTTTCATATCATAGTGGGAAAATTCTACTACCAGTCCTTCGTTACCTTAAACGAAATAAGGTGAATACATCTCACATTACTGATTTACTGGAAGTCTCGAAACTATACATAAATAGGAAAAATGACATATAGTAATTATAACAGAAAAAATAACCTCTTTTATCTGCCATCAAGATTTGATGACCACCATCACCCCCTCTCTATGACCATTTTAACCATCAATCCGATTGCGCAAGCTCGAACTCACATGTGATTATGTTAATGAATTTACTGTCTTCATGTGAGCAAGAAAGGGTAGACTAAAAGGTACAGAAAAGTGACCATGACTATAACCAAGTATGCGTCGAGCATGCAGGACGGTGGACAAAGACTCCTTTGCTCATACCACTACTCGATAGTCTAAAGTGATCCAGGGCTGATTTGCCTATCTCCAATCAGACCACTTTACAACATCCTACTTGCTGTACTCATTCATTGTTGAGCTCATTTCTAATTCGCGTGGAAGTGTGTGTGAGGAAGAGCTTGAAAGGTTGATCCCACCAGAAAACGATCACTAACGGATTCATTTAGGCCAGCTGTCGCCTGGCTTTACTGGAAAATTTTAATTCACCATTTCCATCAAGAAATCTTCCTCAATTCCAGTGAAAGTGTTCTAAACCTTTATAAATATATATATATATATATATATATTGATGGCTACTCATTTTCGATATAAGTAGCCCCCTTAACTATCAGGTATTCATGAATAGGACTTCTTTCCCTCTTGTTGGCCCAAGATAATTTAAGGGCTGGTAGTCAAGTTCTCCCCAGATGGAAGCTTCGCGGTCTCAGACAATTTGGCTCTGAACTCAGATCATTTCTTCTTCTTAATATAATTTTGTTTTGAAGATGGACAGGGTTGGCAATCACATAAATGGTTGAATCCTAAAAGTGTTGTATGAAATATAATATTTTAATTGAAGATATGAAGACCAAGATGTTGTGGCTTCTGGTATGGTCAACCCACATCTTTAACATTTTACTTTATAAAAGCCAAGTCACTGTATCGTGGTCTTGGCTCTTTTGAACATTGTTTGTATTTAAAATTGAGTATTATGCCGCAGTGGCTGCTGATAATGTTGACAAGGAAATTAGCCTCATCGTGCTTCCCAACTGCCCTGGTAAACATAAATGAGGCCAAATTAAGGCTGCTGGAGTTCACTCTACTCATAAACAGGCTAAAATTCCTCCTTCAAACTTGCCCATCCTTTGACTCAGAAGAGGCCATGTTGCTTTTCCATAATGCTTTCTGCCTTGACGAGAGCAGAATAGCTTTTGAGATATACACTTTCGTATCCTCCAGCGATAGAAGCTCTTTGCTACTCTTTGCGTTAACGTCATACTGTCACCGTTGTCGCTAAAACCCTCATCCATAGTCTGGGGTGCTGGAGGTCAAAAGATTGGGGCTACCAAGAGCTTGATTGCTGTTACTATGCGTCGACTGCGCATGGTGGTTGGCCATCCTTAATACTATAATGAATCCTGAATGACACTTTCTATCTAAAGTGGAGGGCAGGTCCGACCCCTCATCGAAACTCTGAACAGGATTCCAACCATGGACGTGAACTTCAAAAAGGTCGGAATCCAATCGGAAGTGTTGATGCCAGGATGAGGCACTACATTCTGAAATGGCATTTTGGAATGATCGGTGGAATGAATCTCAATACGCCAGCAATCCCCATAACTCCGAACAACAGGCTCCATGTTGATGGGATCGCCGAAAGTTCTGATTTTCTGGGCACAGAAGTAGGTAAAATCTGCCAGTTCATCTACTTGCGACGAGTTGAAGCGTAGGCGTGGTCTGAGATAGAGCATCAAATGGAAACCAGCATTGCACAACTCTGCTAGACATGATCGGCAAATGGAGTGTTGCTTTGAACCGTACTCCAAAATATATTGGCACAACCAAGATCAGTCCAGACGCCAGAAGTCACCTGATCAGCTTCCTCGGACTCATTAACAATGCGAATGACGGGCCAAATATACACACCTCTCCTTCCATCATTCGGAGCGAAGGCAGGTGTGCGCATGCTCTTGACGTTTCTATCTGATCGGCCTGCATTACAATCTGTAGGTGAGAGTGATGGTCAGCCGGTCTGGCCCAGATCCGCCTCATGCGATTACCCATTTTCAGTTCCAGTCTCGACGAAGCGGATGCCAAACGAGGCGAAAAGTAGATGTCTGGCTTGTTTATTCAATAGGCAAGAGGCGATGGGCCTTCTATTCACCAGTTGCCAACCGAATATCAACTATTTGGACACTAATCAGCTTAGATCGCACGCAGTGATTAAGGAGTGATGAGAGAATTTTTCGTCTACAAGTTGATTGCCAAGCCTATCAGTAGATCAGATATGGGAGATGCATTCACCCCATTTCGTTCAAGGTGCTGAGGGGACTGACAATCAGATGATTGGGCATCTGGCTTACAGTTACTTTCACGTATACTTGCTTCCCAAACGGTATTCTTATCCGAGTTGGACTGGACCGTAGTTTCGACCTCGCCCAGGCCACAGCAGCACAGGGTTCGAGTCTCGCCGTTCAGGCAATAAGGTTAGGGGGCTGATGAGTCCAATGCGAGGTCGAAACTACAGTCCAGTCCAACTCGGATAGGAATACGGCTTCGAAAGCAAGTATACGTGAACGTAACTGTAAACCAGATGACTATGGGAAAATGCAAGTACATAAGATGTATTCACCCTATTTCGTTTGAGTTGTAAGGGTATTAGTAGTCGAATCTTTTCACAATCAGATCAGTGGACCTTACGTTTCCATTGGAAGAAAAGCCAACTACATGTTCCTCATCCTCTAATACGAAATAGGGTGAATAAATCTCATATCCTTGATCTATTGGTAGCTGGAATGAGAATACCTTTTGGCAAGTAAGTCCAAATAGAATTCACCGGAAACATGAGGCTTCTCATGTGAACATGGAAGAATTCAAGAATCACTTCATCCTCACCTTATGCGACCAAGGATAGTGGCAACTCTTCTTCA